TCAAGCCAGAAGTCCCGAGCCCAATTCCACAGATGGAATTTTAACCACCCGGTGCCTGGAGTGATGCACTGCTGGAATGTTCCTGCAGAATTTAGGGGGAATAAAGTTTTAGGGTCCAGCCAGTAAAACTGGCATCTGTTCAGCAGGGAGGGTAATGAGCAGAGATGGGGATGTGGTTTATCTGCTGCTACTGCAGTGAACAACACCCAATAAAACCCTAATTAGTGCCGTAAATTACTGCTCCATTTCAGTCCCACTGTTGACCTGTCTACCTCCCAAGATTACAGCCCTGGGTAATACATATGAAATTACTTTTAACGTGGGTAATACATATGAAATCACTTTTAAATATCCTCATGGCAACTCCCATTTGCCAGACTATCTGTGAGCTCAGGACATGCAGAGATCCCCCAGAGAGGGGGGTCCTGCTGCTTTGCCCCATTGCTGGAGCCTCATCAGTGGCCTTTTCCTTAACTTCCACATTGTTCAGCAGCAAACACCAACATTTCCTTTCACAGCCCTGTCTAATTTCCCTGCTAAAAGTTTATTTCACCAGCATCACCAGGAAAAGGAGTGCAAAGGGGAATGAGCTGTAACCGGGAATTTGAAGCCAACATATGGAAATTCTCTGCCTTCAGCTGGAAGGGAAATAAGAGTGGGGCCTCTGACTCCCAAGAAGCTCAAATCAGTGGGTGAAAGACATTGCTGAGACTAAAACATGTGAGAATGAAAAATAGGAATGGGATGTGACAGGGACTTTGCCTGCAGAGGCAGGGAAGTGGCTCTGAGATCTACCAGAGGAGCTCTGAAGCCCAGTTCTTCAGGCCACATCTATGAAATCCTGAGCTGACCATGAGTACAAAGCAGTTACTGGAAGTACTGAGCTTTAAAACAGTGATTAATCATTAATAGGGTGATTATAGATGGATAAAATGAAAAATGTTTCCACCCTTCCATTGACTTCCTTTTAATAGCTCCTGTGCTATCCCAGCTGATGCAAAGCACCCCAAAAATCAGCAGAACGACCCCAAGCTTTTGGAGTACAGGTTTCACCTCTCATTAAGGTGACACCCTGGGTGTCAGGGGAGGAAGGGCATCACTCATCCTGGGAGCCACACAAAAATCAGGACTAAATTATCTCAATTTGCACCACAGCAATTGGTGCTTTCGCAGCTATTTAAATGTTACTCTCAGAGCAGACCCTGAGTTTTCCAAAGAGTGTCTCAGCAATCTGTGAATAAAAAAATCCCACCCCTGGCACAGCATGAGCCTGTTCTCCCTCCCATCCTAATGACTCTGTTGCACTCCCAGACACCCACACCCACTCCAATAAAAGGAACAGGGGAGTGGACAAAGCACACAAAGCCCTGAGATCACTGGAGCCAGGGCTTTGCCATAAACCAGCTCCCCGGGCAGGGATGTGAGCACACCCTCCTCCCTCCCTGAGCACACAGGACAAATAATGCTCAGTGCAGGGGGAGAGCCACAAAATGCCCCTTAAACACCCCACATACACACTTGTTCTCTTCACCATCACTTTTCCTGTGCCCTTATGTTCTGCTTCCACTTGGAAATCGATGGCAGTTGGAGCCAGGGATGGAGCAAACACCCCAAAGAGCTTTAAAGCCCAGTGTGGTGTTTACTGGGTGGCTAAAGGATGTCTGCAGGAGGAGGGAACTGTGCTGGAGCATCCCTGGGCTGCCCCTGCCTCTGGTCCAGAGCCCTGGAAAACCAGGAATGGGAACAGCAGGGAAAGCCCTGGGAACTCTGAGGCAGAGACAGGGATGGACCTTCGCTCAGCAGCTCACTCACACTGCTCACAGTGACCTTCCCAACCTTTTTGCTCCCTGTTCCCTCCCTCGGCAGCTCCCAGGACTCCACGTCCCAGCAGCAGCAATGTCTGGGTTGCTGATTAACCCGTTCATTGTTGGGGCTACAACGAGCTATAAAAAGCAGCCCAGGGAGTGGCAGCTGAGCCTGAGTGGCAGAGCTTGGCTCAGTCTCCCCCTCTGTAACCGTGTCCCTCCTGCTCTGTGCTCCTCCAGAGCTGCAGAGGTGATGGGAACACCATCAGTCCCCTCTACCATGAGCTGCAGCTGAACCCACAGTGCTCCCCTGGCCACGGGGCTTCAGGCCCAGAGAGCAGAGTGAGCCTTTTTCTCCCTGAAACGAGGCAGAATGAGGAAAAGCTCCCTAAAAAAAAAAATAAGCAAAAAAGAAAGCTGGTGTTGAGCAGATTCCCTTTGAAGCTGGGCAGCCTCAAACTTTGCTTTGCCTCTAGTTTACAGAACCAAATGGTGACACTGGCTCATATATTAAACATAAACCTTCTATAAAACCTGAGGATTTACCTTTCCATGTGCCAGGAAGGCAGAACTGGGTCTTTCCTCTCAGTCCTTACTAAACCCAGCTCAGCACATTCCTGCTCTTCCTGGCATTACTCTGCTATGTGCATTTATAGGCACTAGAGCTGGAAGTCCTGCCCTCTCCTGGGATCAGCTCTGACCTTCAAATTGCTGTCTTGGGCCCCACTGTCACCTGAACAGTTCTCCTTCAAACAGTTCCATCACTCAGTAACTAAGTTATAGCACAGAGGGGCTTAATGTTTAATTATGCGAGTTTGTTCTCTCCCTGTAAAATTCTCCCTCCCTAAGCTGGGAATTTGGAGGCTGGAATTCCCTGCATGGAGCTCACACACACCTGTGAAGATCAAGACCCCTTGAGGCAGGAGAAGGGACAGAATATACTGTAATTTCAATGACAATTCCAACTCTGACGTTGCCAACCCTTCCACCCAAGCCACCACCTGGCCAACCAATTTATTTCCATCTCCCCACATCTGCTGATGTTTAAATCAGAGAGATCAGAAGAGTTTGTGTTAAGAGGTCTCCAGGATGCACACAGCAATGAACACAAATACCCAGGCTGTGGTGGGACTTCATCAGGGCTGTGTTGCACTGGAAAAGAACAGGAATTTGGTCTGTTTTTTCCTGGCCTAGCACCTGACTCCATGCCAATAACAGCCCTGGACTGCGCTACACAGATGTAACCATTTGTTTGCTTGGTTTTTTTTTGTCAACAGCTGAGTTTCTCCTCTGATAAAGGCACCACATGATATGTCCTAGTCTTCATGACTCACTGAAGACACCAAATGCTCTGTGAATCACCAGCAGCAGCTCTCATCCAGCCTGATTTACATCATCTCAGCAAACCACAGTGACACACCAGTCCAGGGAGCAGCAGGAGGGGTCAGATAAGCTGCAAAATCTCCCTGGCCAGAGCCCAACTGAAAAAAAAGCTGAGTGGTTCCACATCTGGGGGGAAAAAAAAGGGGGGAGAGGGGAGCCAGTGTGTCACCAGTGTGTTCCCTTTACCTGCTGCACTGAGCACTCCCAGCTTGGGTGACTCTGCAATGAACCTGCAGCCAACTGTTCACCAAAGCAGCACTTTTGGGAAGAGGGAAAAACCCCAGTGCTGGAGCTCCCGTGGCAGAGGGAAGGTTGGAATATCCCTCATCTCCAGCCCTTTCTTACTCTTTCCTTTTTGAAGCTCGTCCAGAAAGTTTGAGAGAAGATAACTCGAGGCAGGAGACAGCCCAGACCTGTCCTCGTGTAAAGCACTCACAATTAAAAAAAAAGAAAAGCAAACCAAGTGTTCCTTGAGAGTGTAAATCCCACTTTCCAGCAGAACTGGTGGCTGCAGAAGGACACTCTACCCTCAGCCTGCAGCAGAGTGTGGCAAGGTTAACTATTAGGCAAGCTTCATTAAACCTTTCTAAATGCCGCTGTTTGCTCCCATTATTCAAATGCCTCATTTCCTTGTAAAGCAAGGGAATTACTACCCTGGATGTCATTTTTTTAATTATGTGCATTCAGTTATTCCTCATGGCCACAGCTAATCACTCCTCAGGACGTTGCCCGTGGGGTGGAGAGAATCACCCCCAGCACAATCACTTCTGCCTCTGTACAGACACTGTGACCTCGTGGCTCTTAACCACAGGAACTGTACAATCACCATCCCCTGACTGCTTTTCCATGCATTTGGCTTTCCCAGTGTGCCTCCAGTTCCAGGGATATTCAGAACAACTGAGTTGGTGTTCATTTAAACCCATCTCACAAACTCAGCCCTCTGTAACAACCTACACTGCTGCACCTCCCAGCCTGATGGCTGCTGCATACCAAGTGCTTCTTTTGGCTACAAAACCCTCCCAGGATGGGATTCTGGTGGTGCAAATACCAAAGCAGCTGTTGCTCACAGCAGCAGGAGCAGGAGCTGGCTGCTTTCTCCATGAAGTTCGATTCAGTTCCTACAGAACTCTGTAAAAAATTTCCCTGAGAAAACAACACTTGTTGTGGCTGCCAAGAAGCTTCCAGGGGGGTTCTGTGGGTATGGACTCAAGGTTTCCCAGCTCCTGCCCTGCTATTCCAGCTGCCCATGACCAGCTGCAGTGTGGGAAGTGTCCTGAGGGAGGGATGAGCCCTCAGCAAGGGGAGGGTCGTGTCTGTGATTCCCTGAGCTGACACTGCAGCACAGGGAACCGAAGCAGTGAGGAACTCGCACTCCAGTGAGGGAAACTCAGCCAGAATTCTCTAAGATGAAGAGCATTCTCCCAGCAAAACCTCCCAAGAGGGGCATCTTTGGGGTGATTTAAGGGTTTGCTCTCACCTACTCACACTTCCACCCATCCAACAGGGCACTGACACCACGGGGGCAGAAGCACTTTGCAGTTCCTCAGCTTCTCCTGATGATTCACATGGACACACTGCTCCCTTTGGCTCTTCAGCTGGGATTAGGAAGTGCTTTATAAACAACTATGGTGCTCCCTATACCAGTTCCTTTGACAGAGAAAGCCCTGCCAGCCACGGGAAGGAAGGAGCCTGTAACACAGGAAATAAAGAGATAAGGAGAAAACAGATAATCAGATAGTCCTCATTCTCAAAAACGCTTCTCTATTTCATCAAGAAGCAAAACAACACCAAAGCCCACATTATTAAATGTAATAAATTAATTCAACATTTAATTAGAGAAAAATCAAAGCTTTTTGTGACTGGACACAACATACATTTTGCCAAAAATACATTTTGCTCAAAAGCTGCTTTATTTCACATGGCACAACTGCAGATTTCACATCAACCCTGGTGGTTTGGGTTTGCAAAACAGGAACACCTTGAGAAAAAAATGAACAAATTCTGAGAAGCAGAGTGGCTGGATTGCTGCAAGAATTCCTGTGTGTTTGTCCTTATGCAGCACAGGAGCAAGGTCCAGGTGTGGGAAACACAGAGAGCGGGGTCAAAATAATCCACTGATCTGACTGTGACCAGCTGAGCTGGGGCTCCTTTCACTTCCCAGCCGTTGTTTCCTCTCCTTTATAAACAACAACGTTCTGCTCCGTCTCGTGCACCTTCACCTTGTAAAGGATTCCCGGGGGCAGGAGCCTCTGGAGGTTCTCCCAGATGAACACGGCGACGTTCTCCGTGGTGCTGGGGGGGAGAGGGGGGACAGTCAGAGCCCACGGTGATACCTGAGCACCACAACGGGCTGGGGGGACAGTGGAGGCCACGGGGGGGCCAAGTGGGCACCTGATGGTGCAGGACTGAGCCTTGGGGACTGTTCAGTGGCAGGAGGAGCCCCCGTGACCCACCTCACCACCTCGGCGAAGTACGGCACGTCCTTGTCCAGGTTTTTGTGGTCCAGCGGCTCCATGATCGCCTCCTGCAGAGAGAGGAGGGAGAGTCCTGTCCCAGCTGGTCAGTGGGGTTCAGATAACCATGCTCAAGGGACTGGAAGGTATGTACAAAAAAGAGGGTGAGAGCCCTACATCCAGCTGTGAAATTCCTGGTACTGCTGAAGCATTTTAGCCTCAATTTCTCCTTTATTTCCTGCCATCATCGTCTCCCCATGTCTCTCCACTCTGGCACTGCACAGATTGCTGAGCTCTAACCAGTTCTCCCAGGGGACATGTGGGAAAACAGTGCCATTACCTGCATGTACTCCTTCAGGTCTGTCAGGTTCATAACCATTCCTGAGACTGGGTCAATCTGCAGGGAAACCCAAAGGGAGATCAGCAGCCTGGCCTCACATCCTTATTACCTGCACAAATCAGAGGTAATCTGTGCTCAGGTCATCTGAGCCACAAGAGAAATAACTTTCTACTGTCACAGAGTTCCAGCTCTACTCCTGTGATGGTTCCAAAAGCTTGACACAGCCTACAAACAACTCCAGTGGTTCCACTCTCTCATAAAAGCTGACTCCAGGGAGGAACAATTCACTGAAAGAGTCTTCAAGCAACAATCTGGAGTGATGATAAGCAGGAAAACAGGCATTAAACTGCTCTGTTGAACAAGCAGGGACAAAACAGAGCCCAGTCTGAGCTCAGGGCATTCTCCCTTCCAGCAAATCCTCCTTAGAGGCAAGGTGAGCAGGACAGTGATTATGGGAAACCTCCTACAGTGCTGAACACAGCACTGGGAAATGCAGCCCCTGGGGCAGCACTTCAGCCCTGTGGGACAGGGGGACACATCCATCCTGCCCCCCTCAGGAAGAGAAAAAAATGCTGATTGCACTTACCTGTCCACGCACCGTGACTGTAACTGAAAACAGAGAGAGGATCAGGTCACCAGGAGCCCAGGAACCCAAACCCAGCCCTGCTGCTGTGGGGACAGACACCCCCCTCACTGCTCACCCCAGGGCTTTATGAGATGTGGGGGCAGCTTCTAAGTCTTCTGATGTAATGGAATAGCAGAGAATGAAATTAAGGGATGAAGTGTTTGCCACTTCTCTCGGGGCTAGAATTGTTGCGCCTGTAAATCAGCTTTAAATTGAGGGACAGATCCTCATTTCAGCACCCTGTAACTTATCTTCCCTATCAGAGGTTTTGGGGCACCTACAATACAGTTCAAACAGGGAGCCAGTCTAGGAACTGGGGACATCTAATTCTGTGTGCTCAGGGTGCAGGGAGAAGGAGAAGGACTTGTGAAAACAACATTCAAATAACGTTTACAGGCTGTTTAATTTGCATGTCTTTTGCTTAGAAAAATCCTCATTCAAAGCACAATGATTTTGCAGAGTGTAAACAAGCAGATTTGATTTATGAAGTGACATTCTGAGATAAATAGTTATTATCTATTCAACTGAATATACTGCAGAGCTATTCTTCACCCCCCTGCTGCTGAGGTTTCCTTCTAACTCTTAAAAAGACACAAAACCAGCCACTAAAAACTATCAGACTGAGCCCTGAGTGGCCCAGCTCTCCTGTGGGTTATTCACACCCTGAGAGCAGCTTCTGCCCATCACCACAGAAGGAGGATGGAAGTCAGCTCCTTGCCTTTGTAGTTGTGTCCGTGGCCATTTGGGTTGTTGCATTTCCCAAACAGCTTCAGGTTTTCTTCATCACTCAGTGATTTACTGTGAGAGAGGCAGACATGGCACGTCAGGGGCCATTCCAGGTGCTCGTGGCTTCACTTCAGCCCCCTTTGCTTTTCAGCTCTCCATCTGTTCACCCTCCCAAATTCAACCCACCAGTTTTTCCTGCTCAGGAGGCACAACAAAAAAATCAGACCAAAAAACCACCAGCAGAACAGTATTTGGTCCATATTGTTGAAAACAGTGAGGGGTTTTTTTTGCTGTGTTTTCTTCATCTGTTTCATTACATCTGCCAAACTGCTGTAAATGTTCCAGATATGAAATATGGCCCAAAATCACTCTCAGAAGGAAGTGCTTGAGCAAACTGTGCACATCAGCAGTTACCACTGATGAACAAAGCTTAGGGAGCTTCTCCAAGGAGTACAAAGCATGACCTCCCTCTCTGAATCTTCCCTTTGAAGCAACTCAAGTGCCTGCTCTGAGGAGCATTTCAGGTCAAGGCATGCTTCAGGAATAGCACAGAATCCCAGAATCAGTTAGGCTGGAAAAGATCTCTGAAATCATCCAGTCCAACCTGTGCCCCATCCCCACCTTCTCCTCCAGCCCAGAGCACTGAGTGCCATGTCCAGTCATTCCTTGGACACCTCCAGGGATGGGGACTCCACCACCCCCCTGGGCAGCCCCTTCCAGTGCCTGAGCACCGTTTCTGTGATGAAATTCTTCCTTATGTCCAACCTAAACCTCCCCTGGTGCAGCTTCAGCCTCTGTGCTCCCATCCTGTCGCCGGTTCCCTGGGAGCAGGGAACTGCCAGGGGCTTTCAGGTCACAGGAACACAGAACATGCCGAGGTGGAAGGGACCCACAAGGATCACCGAGTCCAACCCCTAGGCCTGCACGGGCCCATCCCCACGAGTCACACCGTGTGCCTGAGAGCATCACCCAAACAACACTCCTTGAGCTCTGGCCCAGGCGCTCTTCAGGAACACCTAAATTTCGAGGAAAAACCCCAACAGATTAGGGGAGATGTTTACAAACTGGGAGATGTTTACAAACTGGGAGATGTTTGCAAACTGCGAGACCCACGTGTTAAAACAAAGAACTCCAGTTCTCGCTAAGCCCAGCCGGGCACGGACGGGGGCGATCGGGGAAGGGGCTGGACGGAGAAGAGCCCGGCCCGGTGTCCGCGGGCTTTGGGGCGGCTTTGGAGCCTCCTCCCAGGGCAGGGGGAGCGGGGCCGGGCCGGGGCCGCTCACCTGTGCAGGCGGTGGCAGGCGCTGAAGGTGACGGAGCGCGACAGCCGCGCCAGGCGGGCGGAGCGCGGCGACATCGCGGGGCCGGACGGGGGCTGGACCGGGGCTGGATCCGGGGCTGGACCGGGGCTGGATCCGGGGCTGGGAACGGGGCTGGACCCGGGCGGCTCCATCCCGGCCCCGGGGCGGGGCGGGAGCGGCGGCACCGCCCGCGGGACCCGCCCGCCGAGCGCCGGGGATGCTCCGGGTCCCGGGGATGCTCCGGGGATGCTCCGAGCGCCGGGGATGCTCCGGGTCCCGAGGATGCTCCGGGTCCCGGGGATGCTCCGGGTCCCGAGGATGCTCCGAGCCCCGGGGATGCTCCGGGCCCCGGGGATGCTCCGAGTCCCCAGGATGCTCCGAGCCCCGGGGATGCTCCGAGCCCCGGGGATGCGCACAGGGCTCGGACCCCGCTCTGCCCCTCGATCTCTGCCCCTCGGTGCCTGCCCGCAGCCCGCGGTGCGGTGATACAAAGAATCCTGGAATGTTAACGTGTTGGAATGGAGATTAAACTTCATCCAGGTTGCTCAAGGCTCCGCCCAACCCGGCCTTGGACACTGCCAGGGATGGGGCATCCACAGCCTCCCTGGGCAACCTGTGCCAGCTCTGGCTGGTTGCAGTTAGCACAAGGTTGTCCATGAAGCTCTGACGCCTCCTTTCCGCTTCCTTCCTCACCAAGAAAAAATAAAGAGTTTGAAAGGAGCGGCGGTGGTGCCTGAGCTCCGTGAAACGCCTCCTTGGCACCGTTCTGCTGCCAGGGCTGGGCATGTGGCCTCGCTGGGGGCTGTTCCCTGCCCGCGGGTGACAGGATACAGCGGGGCGGTTCCACTGGTGACATGGAAGTGACACGGAGAGGAGGGAGGAGGACACAGGGCTGGAGCACCAGCAACGGGAGGTGTTTGCCATCTAGTGGCTTTGACCAGCTCTGGCCTGAGCCTCCCTCTGCCTCCCCCAGGACAGCAGCCCTGGGGTACAACCCTTTTTCTTTCCCTTGCCTTTTCCCAAGGTGAAGAACGGTCTGAAGAGATAAAGCCCCTGGAGCACAAGAGCTCATCTTTTGCTCGAGGAAAATGGTTCGAATCATTCTCCAGGCTCCTCACAGTGAAGAAATATAAAAAGAATTTAAGCCAGGAGGGGAATCCAGTCCCCTGAAGCCTTCCCTCTTCACAGGGTACTTACAGACAGAGCCTGCAAGTGAGCTGCTGCACAGGGCTTCCCCTGGCAACACCAACCCACCTCCAACAGCTGGAGGAGCCTGGATGAGAGCTGGGATTTGATCTGCTCTACTTACGACCAAAGGGATATCAAGGCCACAGGGAGTTCTACATGTTTCATACTGGTGTTTCATACTGGTTGAACCCTGAGCCATCAGAGCCATCCAGCCCTGCTGTTTTAAGCAGGAGTGTGGTGGAGATGTGTCGTGCATGTGACCACGTGAGGGCAGGGAAAGAGAGGAAGAGACTTCACCAGGTTTTATTTGAGGGCACTGCCAGTGTACAGAGAAAAGCACAAGTACAGCTGCTGTGAGCACCTGCATCTACCTCCTGGAGTCCACTGAAGGCAACCTGTGGGGTTGGAATTACAGTGGGGGTGGAATTACACCCCTTCATTGGGCCCATGTGGTGCAGGTTGGTTTTACTCCTCTCCTCTGCTCTCAGCCAAAGTCACTGCCCCGAGCACCAATGTTCTCTCCCCTTCAGAGCACACTGCTGCCAAGGAAGAGTTCCATTTTCTCCCTTGCAAGCCTCAGCATGGCAACCTTTGTGAACTGCTGCTAGCTGGTCTATCAAAACAGTAAAAAAATTAAGATAAAGCAGTGGGGCTGCTGAATGAAGGGGCTTCTGCCTCCCTCATCCCCTTGGCTGGGTATTGTTAGGAACACAGGAGTAACTCAGAGGTTATGGTAGAGAAAAAGCAGTTCCCTCATCCCCAAAATAATGCAAAAGTGGGAGGTAAAAGCAGCAGAGGTTTCTTTCTGAGCCTGGCTCGGCCCTGAGTGACAGGAGGTGACAAAGTGTGTGGTCAGTGGGCAGTGAAGATGCCGTGGAACCCATAAGGCATTTGCACCGGGACCTCTGCTCGCCCCAGCTCTCTGAAGGTCTCTGCATCCAGGATAAGCAGGAAAGCACTTTGGTTCTGCAGGAGGAAAAGAAAGCCAGAATGAATGGCCAGGCTGAACCTCATTTCACTCTCCAGCCTGTTGCACACCAGGGAGCCCAAATGTCCAGCCAGGCCACACAGCTCAAGCCTGTGACTGCCAGGAGTACTGGCAGTCACAGGAGCCACTCAAGAAGCACTGACATTCCAAGGAACACTCCTGGGGAGCAAGGAACTATCTGCCAGGGAGCCTCCAGCTGGGTTCTGTGCTTCAAAAAGTTAACTAATGCTTTGTGACTTTGACAAACTACCAACAGTAAGTTACCTCAGTGGGGGAGACCACAACAGACAAGATGACTCCACTGTCCTCTGCTGTGGCATTAGGCACTGGCACAAACACAGGCTCTGAGGGGTAGAATCCATCCTCCTGCCAAATCTAGCAAGCACAGGGACATATGGATGAGCTTCATTTCATTAATACTTGTCTGCTACAGTTAGCAGAGCTGCAAGTTAGAGTGCTCCCCACAAAGATACCCAGGCACACTCTGTGCTCCAAGAAACTTAAAGAGTTCAACCTTTGAATTAATCCTTTGGATCCCAGCAGTATGATGGTGCCATCCTCTCCTGTTGGGTAGGTGTGTCACATTCACAGGGTGAGAGATGAAATTAGGAATCCCATCCCAGACCCACCAGGACAAAGACCCCCCCAAAGCCCCTGGTAAATGACACATTTTCAAAGCCAGTTCAGTGGAACTGAAAAAGGATAATCTGACTCTAATTCACCTTGAAATTCTTGGTCTCCACATCAACCTTGATCAAGGAATCTCCGACCAAATGCCCGAATCCACACCCATAGAAGTACCGGTACCTCCTCCCGTTGGACTGGGAGTAGTTGATGTGGGGGAACTCCAAACCCCCAACCTTTTCAAAGCCCTCAGGGTGGAGATTTTCATGTGTGCACCAGACCTAGAAGAAATATGCATTATACAGGTGTTGGTTTAGCTCTGACAGGGCAGAAGACCTGACTGGTCCCACCACCATTGTGGGGAAGAAATGTTCTGGGAACGGGGAAGAAAAAAGATCCGGGAAGACAATGGCACGGGATGGCAACTGTCGCAGGCAATCTCCCCACAGTTCTGTAGCTCTTCAATACACACCTTTCCATCTGCATCTTTCACAGCCCTTGCCAGGGTATAAGGCAGTGGGTTCAGGTTTTTGCCCACAGGTGTGTCTGGATCCACGTGCAGAGGGAGCACAAAGCGGCGAGGGAAAGCTCGGGGGAGCGAGGCATAAACCTGTTACAGAGACAGCAAGTCATGGGCATGGAGAGAGGAGAGACACTGCAGGCTAAATGCATTTTTGGGGCACAATTCGGAAGTTTGAGACATTCCTCCCAGCCCTAAAATCATTCTTTCTGCTATGTGTTTTATTTACCCAGTTCTGGTAAGGTAAAACACATCACAGAAAGAAGTTCTCTGCACCTTCCAGTATTAGAGCAGAAAACAAAAAGACAAGCAATTGAAAGGGTCAGCATTGCTTTCACAGGATTAATTAATTAATTAATACTGAGTTGAGTATGCAAATCCCTCCATTATCTTCCAAATTCAACACTGGGACACACACTGCAGTATATTTAGTTAGAACACTTACATTGCTCTCTGGATAAGTCTCCTTCTCCTCCAGATGGTAAGGCAAGCAGGAGACTGCTGTACCTCAGTTCAGTGCCTGAAGTTATCCTGCAGGATTTCCCTCTTCCATTCTCAGGCACACAAGGATTCATGTTTGGAAGTCCAGGGGAAGGATGGATGTACTTGGGGAGCAAAGGGGAGAGCAAACCAGCAGCCCCCAGTGTGACAGACATCCAGTGGCTTGCACGAGAGGAATGATTCCACCATTGCCACTAAAGTTCTGTCCAAGCCAAGTTTAGAACCCATCATATTCCTATATATTAAGCCTTCTAAATAAAACAGGTGACAAGGGCCCTGCTTTGGTGGTTTTCAGTTACTTCAGTCTGTAATTCACCAGTGCAACGTGAAACTTCACTTTAATCATATGTGTTAATCCTGAAACCCTGTTTTCAAAGCTTTTATGGTTCATGTAACCCCAGTAACTCGGCTGAGGAACCCTGCCAGATAAATTATGGTTTAGTGAGCAAGCAAAAGCACTTCAGCATGGCTCAGGGACCAGTCATGCTCAGTCATGCCTTGGGTTTCTGAGAAGCCGTGAGCTTAAGGCTCTGTTCTGAAATGACTTGCACTCCCCTGTGTGTGTACAGTTTAATGGTTATGTGCCTGTCAGTTAGAGAACCTGGGTTTTGGAAACACGAGCCTAATGTTGACACAGGGACACCTTCAGCCAGATCCAACCCTGGCTGGTTTGTGCTCAGGGAAGGGGGGACAAAAGCTGGGATCAGTTTGCAAAGCAGGAGGTCGTATTAACCTTCTGCTGTACTGGTGTTCAAAACATGCTTGAAAAAACACAAACAAACAAAGGAAAGCAGAAGGAAATGACCTGGCAGGGAGACAGCTGTAGTGTTCTCAGGTCAGATCTGACTGGGTTCTAGACAGCTCAGAACACAGCGGGAGGAAGTTGAGACCTGCCTGGGCATGCAGGGCACGGCGGGTTTCCACTCAACACATCTGCAGTGCCAGACACTGAAAGCACCCCCGCCTTCCCCATGTGTGACCTATGCAAAATAATGCCTCCAACATGGCCTCAAATGGGGCTTGTGGCAGAGCTGGATAAAATAGGTAATTTATTAGAACGTGCTGTTGTGAGGTGACAACGCCGGGGCTTCCGTGGCGTTTGAGTTTCTGTGATTTTCCTAACCAATGCCACTTCTCTGAAGCAATGCCTTTATACAACAGGGTGTCTTCTTCCCTTTTGAAGCCATGCAAAAACTTGGGGGAAATTTCTCAGGGGAAAAATATTATTACACTGGGATAAGGAAAACGAATATGATTAAAAGCAAGGTTTTAAAGCAGAAGGAC